ACGTACTAATCAATCAATTTGTTGAGTCAAGGTCCGAGTTCAAAAGTGGTCTTGTCAATCACGCTTTTGCAGCTGCACTTAGAACACTACTACTTGTGGGTTCCTCTCATCCTTCTCCTTTCTGTTTCTTTTAACTTGTAAAGTCTTTCGTGTCAGTTTATTAGTCATTTATTTGTGAACTGTTTGCGCACTTGCACCCTGGAATGACATGCATTGTGAAAGAATAAAGTGTTGGATTCTCTTATATCTATGGTGTATCCATATTTTGCATGTGTTGTGGTGTAGAATGTCTTTATTTGGGATATTGATGGATGTTCTATTTATTCATTTAATGTGTGCTTCGTACAACGTAGCATTGTATATAACTGTTCTTGTGCCCCACTGTGTGAAATGCAATCGCTCCAGCGTATGTATTCCTACGTGATTGATTATTATAAAAGGGACTAACATTTTAAGTAAATGGGGGTTTTAGGATTACCAAGCCATGGTGGCTCAGCTCGAACATCAATTTCGTCTGGGGAAACTTTCTATTCAAGGATTATGGTTTTATTGCCAGGTTTGTTGATTAAAATCTCACTTAGTAGTTGTTGTTGTGCTTTATTAATCAAGTTTACACCGGCTTGTTTTCATCCTTTCTTACAGCCAATGATGGGGTCCATGCTAGCATTATCCATACTAATAAAGAAAGCTTCAGCTGCTAATTCCATTGGCTCCGCTGTTCTTAACCTCTTGCATAGCCAAGTATGTTATTACAGAACCATAATATTGGTACGATGGTTAAATGATTTGAATCGGTTGTTTACCGTGACAATCATATTTCTAAAACTATTACAGGCGAAGGCTATGGCAGGAGACCATGTAGTGAGGTCCTTGTTGGAAAAAATGTCACACTCTGCAAACCAAGCATATCTTGGAATATTAGAGAGGTATTGTTTTATATTTGAGTGTAATGATTATGGTGTCTAAAGTAGATTAATGATGTTAAATTGGCCACACACAAGCTTCTAGTTTGGTTAATAAATAAATGAGCTTGTGATAGAGAACAGTAGAGAATTCACAGAGGTCAGGTATATTTTGTTTATTAAAAAGTCAACTGAGAAGCTTAATATCACCTATTTTGATGGCTAACTTGGTTTGGGAGTTGAAGGTATTCAAGTTTACTTCCCAATTAGTGGCATTTTAACAATACTATTTTGTAGAACATTTTTTTGGTAATACAGGCTTGTGCATTTGTGGATTATGTATTGTATTTGACATCTTTAAATTGTTCATTGGATTTAGTTGTATTGCTGAAGGGATAATATCTTTTAACCACAGGTGGGTGTATGAGGGAGTGATTGACGACCCCTATGGTGAATTTTTCATTGCTGAGAACCAGTCTCTTCAGAAGGTATGTATGACCTCATTTTTATGTGCATGCTTCAGTCTTCGGCGTTATGACCTGTCTCTATTTTCTTTTGAACAGGAAAGTCTCACACATGATTATGATGCAAAGTATTGGCAACAGCGCTACAGCCTGAAAGATGACATCCCTAGTTTCCTTGCAAATGCTGCTGAAACAATTTTGATCACTGGAAAATATTTAAATGTTATGAGAGAATGTGGTCATAGTATTCAGGTATGTTGCTTGATTGTTTTGTGTTTTTATGATTCATTTGACTATAATATTCAAGTATAAACTCTTGATCCAACTGCTTTTGGGTAGGTTCCTGTAGCAGAAAATTTAAAATTGACGACAGTTGGGTCTAATCATCGATACCTTGAGTGCATCAAAGCTGCTTATG